CACTGATGGTGACATAGCCCTTGAGTTCTCAAGAAGGTGAATACTTCCTTATAATGTGACCTAAAATTTTGTTTCTAACATCCTACATCATATACATATTCATATAAAACATATACTGATATACATAACTATGTTATATATATTTATAAGTACATAATATATTTTATATTGTGTTTATGAGTTGTATATGATGTATATACTATATAATGTTATACAGTATAATATGAAAATATAAGGTTATAATAATATATGATATGTATAAATTTATAATGTATAATATAAATATATATGAAGCATGTGTATACAGTGGGCACTGAGGCTGGAAAAAGACAATGGATCCCTCTGAGTTGGAATTAGAGGTGGCTAGGAGACACCATGTGGGTACTGAGGATCGAACCCAGGTCCTCTGTAAAGGCAGCATGTACTCTTAGCCACTCAGCCATCGCTCCAGCCCCAATTTCCCCAGTTTTCATACTCTGTCTTACATTGTGAAGGGATAAAGGAGTCATGAAAAGAAAACCCATTCCTTTGTCAAGTCTGCCTGCCAGCCACCAGCTCAAAAAAAAGTGTGTGTGTGTGTGTGTGTGTGTGTGTGTGTCTATGTGTCTGTGTGTCTCTGTGTGTGTCTGTGCATGTGTGTATGTGTGTGTAGGTGTATGTGTGGGTGTGGGTGTGTCTGTGCATGTGTGTATGTGTGTGTATGTCTGTGTGTGTCTGTGCATGTCTGTGTGTCTGTGTGTGTGTGTCTCTGTGTGTGTGTTTGTAGATGTTCATGGAGGCCAGAAGAAAGTATCAGATTCCCATGGAGCTATTGTTACAGGCAGTTATGAGCTAACTGGCATGAGTTTTGGCCCCAAACTCAGGTCCTCTGGAAGAGCAGCAAATGCTCTGAACAGCTAAGCCAATCTCAAGCCCCTGACTTTTCCTTATGAAAAACAAATCAATTTTAAGTGTATAAAATGTAGGATGTCATTGTGTCACTTTTTATAAATGTGTATCATTGTACTGAACTCATGTTCACCTCATCACCCATCATGCTTTGCTGACTACCTTACCCCTCCTACTTACCCTTTCCCTCACCTGAACAGTCCATCTCCTGCTTCTCCTTGTGTGGCCCCCACACAGCTAATCTAGATTTCATATAAAATACATGAAACATTTTTTCTGTTCCTCCTCATTACACTCATCATTACCCTTGGTTACCAACTTTTCATTGGCAAATTTTGTTGGAAAAAACAAGACTCATGAATCCAACTGGATGTAAATTGGATTGGAAAGTGGAGGCAGAAAATGAACAGGCACTTTCTA